CCCTGGCCTCAGCCAATCCCGTGCCTCTCAGCGTTCCAATGGCATGCGGGAATGGAAGGCAGCCAACCAGAGAAGGATACAACTGAGGTGCAGTATATAATGGGCGCCGTGGTCAGCGTGGTGGACTCGGATAGAATGCGCCTGACGCTTAGCGCTGGCTTCTGATTGGTCAATTATGCCTGTTCTGTTGTACCGGTTTTTTTCCTATTTGGGCTCCGGTATTCTACAACAATATTTTATAGGACGCTGCCATATTAGATCTTGACGAGTTAGCCAATCCTCTATTTGGTGTGTCTGAGCTGCAGATGAAGACCTCAAACCAACCGGAGAATAAATCAGATTAGAATCTTTAAATAAACGAAAGTGCATGACGATCGGCTCTGTAAAATACTTACGCCCTAGTCCAAAAAGGACTATTCGAACAGCGCAATCTTTATTGACTAAAAATATGCCAGAACCGTCAATCAGTCACATTCCATCCAAGTCCTCCTTACTGGCAGTTCCTTCGTACTCAACAATCCATTCTTATATCCAGTTGGCTTCCGATCTATCTTGCAGGTGGTTCGGAAGCACAGAGACAAAAAATGGCTGAACTCAGAGTCGATGCATTTTAGATGGTAGTGCAATACCCGAAACCTGAAATGAGAAAGACTGGTCAATAACGCCAGCTTTTTTTCCAAATTATAGGCTATGATCATCTGTCAGGTTCCATCTACCTTGTCTGCTATGATGGATACGCCCCTTATTATGTAATGTTTCTCATCGGTCCATATCTCTGACTGGATGCTACTTTTGCCTATTGGCAATTCAAATGCTCAAACAAAGAATTGTCCGAGCTTGGCGCAATCCAATATGACTGTACAATTGCTCATAGCAAATTTTCTAAAATACGTAGTGGTGGTGGTGGTTTTGGCCGCAGTCATATCGAATAATGCCAATGTGAAAGTTAATCAACTGTCCAAAGTGTAACGTAACAACCAAGTGGGGACTCAAAATGGGTCGGTTACTGTCAGTCTGTCTCAATGAAATAGCCACATCATTGGGGTTGATTACCAGGCATAATATGGAAGAGCATTAGGAAGAACCTGATGTGTTCCACACAACGGCTTAGAAAGAATGTGTTAGGATAAAGCAAGTTGAAAGTAGGGAGTGTCTGGGTTGCCAGAGGCCCATGTACGTGTTTTGAGCAAGGGAGAAAGTCGCAAGGATCAGGAGGACAAAGAACGGACCAGGCCGACGTGTGTCGATCAGATGGTGGTCTTTAAATTGGTATAGTGTTAGCGAAAATGCACCTGTTTGTTAAGACTAAGTTAAACTAAAATAGGGAGTAGGTGATAACCACCTTCGGTCTGTTCTATGTCAAAATAGCCTGTTTTAGCGATGCCGTTTTCTCAGCACTAGGTCTCTGAAATTTCACACACAAAAATAAATTAATAAATTCATTGACGATTCATTCCCGAAATCTTTGTGAATTACCTTTTGTGCTTGCATAGTATTTTTAGACTAACGGTAAAGGGGCAGCAACTTTATTTTTCACAACCTCATGGTTAATCAAAAGTAAGTACTTGAAACCTATTGGGTCAAGCGAACGGAGCGTGAGAAATAGCTCTATCTTAACCGTAAACAGAATTATGCGTAAAGCCTCTTCTGAAACGAATAATTCCATCAACGCTAAGCAAATATCTTTAAAACAGACGATACATGTGGAATTGCAATCAGATAAATTTTACGTCGATACCATGCATTTTGTCTTTTGACATTTGCGACCGTCAAATTTAAATGAGTCCTACAACGCGCACTAATATCTAAAATGATTTGAAATGTTAAAACTTTCCCTAAAGAATATATTTTGTTGAAATTCCTCTACCACCTGTCCTCGGAAATGTAGCAAGTCTGTCGGACGTGTCGAGCTGTCGTTTTACAATCTGCCGCAGAATGCGATA